CTTTCAGTATTTTTAGGAAAAGAAAAACATGTACAGTCAGTGAGGTGACATGGCTCATCTGATAACCACTCTCAATTTCAAAAATAATCTACAAGGGGTGTGTGTGTGTGTGTGTGTGTGTGTGTGTGTGTGTGTGTCTGAAAACAATATCTAGGAAGATAATGGGTGCACCCATTATGCCTGGTGCACCCCCTTGTAGAAGGAGGGTTCGAAGACATAGGCTCACCATCATGTTCATAGCTGATCCCTTACATGGAGATTACAGCAGAGCACATACCCACGCGCACACACACACACACACACACACACACACACACACACACACACCTTCAAGTACAGCAGAGAACTAGTCAGGCTGGTGAAAATAATATTTCTAAGCAATGGATCTGGTGAATGAACTACATTCTACATGGGTCACTTAGCTGATAGTAAAACCATGGTTGAGGTCTCTCCATAAATAGAACAATTAGATTCCATAGCAACTGGAGACAGGAGAAGAAAATAGTTATTTCTGGAAGAATGCCTAGCACCAATGCATTTCCCTGTTGTTAAAACTCTATCCTATCACCTTCTAATTTCAGGAAGCAAACGAATAAGAACAGTGTGCTTCTCACTGAACAGATGAAAATGAGCTAATTTTCTAGGTCAAGGAACATTTGCTAATTGTGAAGCTAATTTAATCAGAAAGAAACATGAATACAGATTGTACACATCTGCCGAGTAGAACAAAACCCACAACACCGTGGCTTTCCATGATGGGTGCCAAAGTTAACAGTATTCCATTTTTATAACTAGATGTCTTCACCAAGCTTCCTGCTTAGATCCTCTTTTTGTCTGTTTTCTAGGAGCACTACCAGTTTCTCTACAAAGTGGTCCTAAGCCTTGTCAGCACAAAGCAGGAGGAAAATCCATCCACCTCTCTGGACAGTAATGGTGCAGCACTGCTTGATGGAAATATAGCTGAGAGCTTGGAGTCTTTAGTTTAATGCAGAAAGCGTGGGAGAGTCTACATCTCAGCACTGTTTTTCTCTTTCTCAGATTAAAAGACTGAGTCACTTCTGTTATCCATTCACCTTCCACACCTGACAGTAACTTCCATGACATAGGAATCTGCTGCCAATTTTACATCATTAACAACGTGTGCCTTTCCAAAAGACTACTTGTAATTCACTTATTATGTTTGAACTAAAATGATTAAATTTTACAGTATTTCTAAGAATGGAATTGTGGTATTTTTTTCCATATTGATTTTAACAGAAATTACCAATTTGTAGATTTTAGGAATTCCCAGCTACAGAAAATGTTTGGAGTGTGTGTGTGTGTGTGTGTGTGTGTGTGTGTGTGTGTGTGTGTGTGTCCAATTTTTTAGGTGTATTTGTAGCAGTCATTAGGTTGCAAGAAATATAACTTAATTAGTAGACCGTAAAATCCACTTTGTTGCCTATATTCAATATTTTAAAACCACAGTATTGACCTAAAGTAGGCGTAATCTGATACTTACTGTAATACTGCTCTAGTGTGCCCATGGACCAAATTTATATTTATAATTGTAGATTTTTATATTTTACTACTGAGTCCATTTTCTAGTTCTGTGTACTTGTTTGGTTTAATCATTTGGTTCTTTATGTTTTTATTCTCCAAGTCCGCTGACATTGTATTGTGTTATCTAAGCAATTAACTATTTCAGTGTGTAATTTTAACTTTTGTGTCCAATAAATATACACTTGTTTTGAAAGACCTTTTAATGAGAATAATTCCTTACCAAACATTGTTTAAATGTTTTTATTCAAGGAATTGCAAAAATAAATATAAATATTGCCATTCGTGTGTGTATACTTACGAAATCTTGTGTTGGGGTGTATGTGGCCAGAAAGTGGGGGTATGGGTCCCAGCAGAATGATGAGAGTAAAAAAAGGATGGATGAAGGGAAGGAAATACAGAGTAATGGTTCTTAAATGGTGTTTCTTGTGAAAAAAAAAACTTAATTATCTTTAGGACAACACAGCATCATACACTGGCACTCTATAGTTTCCTAGTGTTAGTTAATTGTTTTAGTCCTGTTTAATAACCAGAACCATTGTATATTTCTTTTGGCTTCTGAAGGAGTCATGGTCTGGATGTTTATGTCTCCCAGAATTTATATGCTTGAATCCTTATCCTTAAGGCTATGGTTATTGAAACAAAAGGTCCTTGGGTGATTAGAGCCCTCTTGAATGGGATTAGTGCCCTCCCCATTCCTTAATCTTGTTTTATTTTTCTTTAGGACTCAAGATGTTTTCTGAACCTTTATTTTACATTTGTTTGTTGTTGTCTCTTTCCTTGCTTAGTATTTAAATCTCATGGGAAGAGGAATTTTTCTCCTTTGTTAGTCCTGTATGCCTAACAAGTAGTACAGTATATGTACATTAAAGGTACGAGATAATATTTTAAATAAATGAATGCATGAATAGGTTTTTGTCTAAAACAAAAGTATTCAAATCGTCTTTGGAATCCAGACACTGTAGGTCACAATAAATTTACTGTTTTTGACCAGATATAACTCTTCTTAGTTTTTCCTTATTCAGTCCTTATAAATGAGTGTATCTGAAAAAGATTTCTAAACAGACTACATCTCCAATTTTAAATCATGGAGAGCAGTTTTAAGAATGTTTTTCTACCATAATCATTGTTAAGCCATACCCACTGGAACTATAAATTCTGTCATAGTTCTACATCATACTTTTAATGTGATTTTATAGCAGTAGCTTTTCTTGTAAAATCAATGCTAAACTCCAAACAGAGGTTATACCATGAAAATCTTACTGAGTTATATTTCTTATTGGAAAATCCTTAATTTGTTAGCATATATTATCACTTAATCTGAAACATGGAAAAAAATTCTTTAAGAGGAGCTAGGTTGTATAATTTGATACTAAATTTTAATTCTATTTACAAAAAGAACACCAGGAATATCAAGCTTTCATTGAATTTTTTTTTTTTTTTGCCTGTTGTGGGGCTTGAACTCTGGGCCTGGGAGCTGTTCCTCAGCTCTTCAGCTCAAGGCTAGCGCTCTACCACTTGAGCCACAGTGCCACTTCCAGTTTTCTGGTGTTTTCTTATCTCCAGATAAGAGTTTCATGAACTTTGCTGGCTTTGAACCACAATCCTCAGATCTCAGCCTCCTGAGTAGCTAGGATTACAGGCATGAGCCACCAGCGCCCGGAGAATTTAACTTTTTTAAGGAAAGAAAAAAATCTGCACGTTTGTAAAAAATGAAACCTTTTATTAACTCATTGTTTATCATCCACCAATTTGCTAATGGTAGGATACTTTAGCACATTACAAATCTCTTCTTCATTAGTACAATGTTGAAGTATTAGTGTGGATGGTTTTAAATAAAACATACACATCAGTTTTAAGACTCTACATGTCAGTGGCATGAAATTGTAGCTAATATTTTTTCTTAAGATTATAATTATTAAAAGAAAAAAAACCATGAATTGAGATTTGTTGTTACCTAAATAATAGGATTTCTAATTAGTTTCTCAACTATGACACACTCTAAACAGGCCACAAGAAACAGCTCTTCAACTAGGAACTTTTGTACAAGTATTTATGGTGATGTCTCCTTTGTTCTTGGTTATTTATCTTAACTGCTTAAGAGTTCTAACATCTTTATGTTCTCATCAGCCTTCGTTATTACCACTTTACAAAGTGGCATTTCATTATAGCCATTTTACAAAGTGGCATTTCATTGTTGATTTGATCTGAGTTCCTAATCATAATTGATGGTGAGAATATTTCATGAGCCTCATAGTCTTTTGTATATCTTCTTTGGAGAGCTGGTCAATATAGCTTTAAAAATATTTTTCTTTTTATTATTAAAGTATAGCAGTTCTTTGTTCTAGATTTATACCCCTACTGATTTATTATTTACAAAAATTTTTCTCTCAATCTATGGCTTTTGTGTTGTTGCTTGTTTTTCATTGTTCACTGTTTCTGTAGGTCTATGAAATCACTAAGTCCTTAATTTTCACCCTGTTCAGTTTTCTTTTTTGCTTGTTTTGGATATTATTTAAAATACTATTGCCTAATTCAAGCCATATTAGCTCTTATATTTAGGTCGTAAGTCCATTTTTAGTTCAGTTTCACATGTGGCTTGCTGCAGAGGCCTAACTTCATTATTGGTATGTAAATGTCTCTATTTCTAATCACCAGTTGATGAAAAATTATTTTCCCTCTTTGAATTATCTTAGCACTTGTCTCAGAAACCAAGTGAGCAGCACTTCTGGACTCTCGATTCTATTTCTAAGTCTTTGTTCACTCATTGACACTTTAAGGACATAATCCATTTCTGAAGGTTGACTCTTGTATTTACAGCTTTGCCAAATGAATTATTCTAATGCTTTGTTATATTTTAAGTACATTTATTTGTATTTTCTTTGGTTGTCCTTTAGAATTCTATGTCTAAGATCAGGACATATACAGAGAGTTTAGTACTTCCTTCCTAATCAAGATGCCTTTTATTTTCTTCCTTACTTGCTCTGGCTCAATGCTCTAGTACAGGTTGAATTGTAGTGGCAAAAGCAATTATCTTTTTTTCATTTCTGATGTCATGGGAAATCATTCAGTGTTTTGTATTAAATACAAGTTGTGGATTTTTCATAGATTTTAAAACCAGGTTGTTTGTTGAGTGTTTTTACATGAAAGGGCTTTGCACATGCTTAAATACTTTGTGTTCTTAATGAATGACTATATGGATTGTGAATTAATCTCACTAGTTTCCTTTTCCAGACACTCAAGAAAAAATAATAAAAGTGATAAATTTACTAAATAAATCATCACTTTACAAAAAGCATAACATAGTATTTTGTATAGATTTATACATAAGTATTCTAAAGGTATTTAACAGAATCAATTTGAAAAATACAAAAATAAAATTATATAGCAATCTTCTAAAACAATGAAACTACATTTGTTGATTATAGGAAAATATATTTTATAAGAAAAGAGGCACAATAAGTTAACAAAGTATGATCATTATCATTTTATACATATATAGTAATACATAGTAAAATTACTTAAGTTCTCCCATAATGACTGGCCTCTCATATTCTGAACATTTTCAAATTAAAATTGAGATTTTTATTCAAAACCACCATTTTATTGACACAATCAAAATAGGTCATGCTTCACGCTATAAAAACAACAGCATATTAGTAAGCATGTTTATCATGCAGATGTTGAGAGCCATTTTGCCTGTGATGATACAAACAAAATTATAGCTTGAGTGTGCTCTGTGTAGTGTATATAATGCCTTCTGCTTTAACCCGCTCTAATATTGGCCCATAGATCTCCTTTGTAAAAGGCCCCATTAGGCCTTTTGCTTCAATTTCACCTGGAAGAAAATGAGTGATTATCATTTTTGGTGGTTAATTTTACAGATTATCTCTACAGAAAAGATATCAATCCGGCAGCTTTCACAGCCAATGTGAACTGTAGGCCCAGACACTATCTAAAGAGCTGCCTAAATGTACATTACTCAGTGATTACTTAGTCAACACTGTAAAGGAAATGAGTTACTTTAGGAAAGGAGGTATGGATGGATGTGGGTATGTTTGAGAATCTATGCATGTATTTGTAATCATTCCTACCCCAATGAAGCGAAACCAACCTGATCATTTGGGCAGCTCTTAAAATGGTGGAAAACTAAAAGTTTCAACTTTACCAGTGTATAAAAGCAATATGCATTCAATATAGACGCTACTTAGAATTCAGAATTGTGATCTTCTCTCAGACTAGTGATGCTAGTATATGATACTAGAGTATCACACACTGTCAGATGCTATCTCAAGATGCTGGACAGAAACAAGTACAGCTGCCAGGCAGTGGTGAAGTTAAACATGACAGTAAACAACCAGCACTCTACGTGTACTGTGTTTCTTAGCTATGATATTCATTGGGTCAGCTGTGTTCAGTGATTTTTCAACTTAACACATTCTCATCTTAGAATGAGGTGATTCAAACAGAACCTGACTGTAAATCAAGGAGCAGGTATCTGAAAATATTCACAAAGTATAGATGATACTTTAAGATATAAAATAGAGTCCATATTCTTGAGCTTCTATAACCGAATACTCTCTGCTGTTCACTCCCAAAGTAGAAAAACAAACAAGGAAAGGAAGGGAGGGGTTTAACATCTACTGTGGGGCCCCCTCTGATGGCAAGTTTCTATGCTGTTTTGTTCCAAGTGTCACAATAAGCCTCTTCTGAGATGAGGAAACTTTTACTGAGACATGCTGTGCAACTTGTACCCCATCACTCAGCCGTCTGGACACTGAGCTGCGTGGAAATCAGGTCTAACTGTGTGCTTTACTCCCCTCAGGTGACCTCTTCACAGTAATTGTCATCATTTAACGAAATATAACATTACATAGCAAAAACAATGCCCGAGCTCAAGAGCAATTCTTTGCTGCCCAGACGCTGATTAGCTTGGGAGTGGCACGGGGACAGAGCAGCCCTGAAAGGAGCAGTACTTACCATCAAGCAACATTTTGGCTGCCATGGCCGTGGGGAAACCCACTGTTTTAGCCATCGCTGAAAATCCGTTGAAATCTCCATAAACCACAAGATCAATAGTTTTGCTCTCTAAATGTCCAGAAGGATGTCTGATCCCAAAACTGTCTCTCATCACAATCATATCTTTTTCTTCAGGGCCTTAAAATGAAGATATTTGAAAATGCCACTATCCTTATAACTCAAACATGATATTTCACCTCCTACCCCTGGCTTTATATCACATGATTTTCTTGTGATTATATACAGACATTAGGTAATTATTTATCATAATACTATTTTCGGTCCATAGACTGAATCAACAACTGAAGGAAATTAAAATGCTAATTATATCCCTTTTCCCAAGTGGGTATCAACCTAATCTGCTTAACATCTAAAAGACACTGTTGTAGTTGCTACACATTTGCTCCTTAAAAAAAAAAGGCCCATTTTACACTTCTGTGGTAGAAGTAAAACTTTTTCTTTCCTTTCCCATAGTACTCCAGTTCATTTTTACCTAAGAATTTTCATATTCTTCCCCTGGAAACATAGCCCAAGGACCCTTTCCCTCACATCACATCACAACTCTCCTGCATGGCCTCCCACCCTCCAATCAGACTATCTAGCTACACTAACTCTCTTCTGACTCCTTCAGAGATGTTGAGCCAAGACTCATATGAGAGCCTACCATAGGAGAGCTTCAAGGCCAAGTGTTTGGAGAGTGCATCCACAATGGACTCTGCCTGAGGGACTTGATCTTCCCCAAGTAAGCCCAACCTGTAAAACACAAGAGCTAACTGCAGTAGTTCAGTGCCTTCATTGTGTTCTGCTTTGGAAAGCAGAAAAAAGACTCCTTGAATGTTTATCTTAAAAGGGCAGATCACAAGACCATTTTCCAAGTTCAAGGACTCTCTTAAATTGTAAAATAATAACAATGACAATATTTTAGTCTTCAGGGTCATTGTCAGATTTCCCCAGACATTGTTCCATGAAGTTGAATGAAGATGATCCATTGGAAATTCGTGTTATGTACTTCCTAAGAGGTTCATTTAGATGAGCTGTCCCATACTAACCATACTTGATAAAGCATGGCAGTCATACAGTAAATAAAAATTTCCACTTTATGCAAGAAATTACTGGGACAACACTTCACAGTAAGTATTTTTCCAAATGGTAATGATGATGATTTCAGTGGTACCGAAGTTTAAATGTTTGCTAAGCAAGTACTCTACCAGTTAAGCCAAGTCTCCAACCTCTTTTACTTTAGTTATTTTTTGGATATTGTCTTGTTTTTGGCTGGCACTGACTTTAGACTACAATCCTCATACCCTCCATCTCCCACACAGTTGGGATTTACAGGTGTGCAGCACCAGGCCAGGTTGGTTTTGTTCTTGTTCTTGTTGCTTTATTTTGTTTAACACTTCTGGGGTTGAACCTAGGACTCCTCACTTGCCAGGTAAGCACTCTACATATATATGCATGCTGCCTCCTGATAGCTGAAATTCAACTGTGTGCCACCATGGCTGGCCCAGTATTTTCCAAACTGCAATTGTCAGTGAGTTTATCTGGTCATGTATTTTTAACACCTACATAGCACATTATAACCTTTCTAGCATGGGCCAACTAAGGAGCACAAATTAGCTAACAAACAGAGATTAGTCAAAGATGCATATAAAATGTTGGATTGTATCTCAATCTTTCCTTAACTGAAAAGGACAAAATAATCATGAATTCAATTTTTTTGGCCCTAAATCGAATGGTGGATGCCTACCATTCTACAGCCTCCAGCTGGGTATGGTCCCCTCCCAGTTTTGTAAGGACAGCATCTTTAAGCACATCACACGAAGAAGAGCGTGAAATCCCAACTAGGTCACAGAGGAGTTGTTTCTGGTTGTAAAAATAAAGAAAAAATATACCTAATATAATCAAAACACACTGCAGCTGAAACTTTATCTTGTTAAGATATTGGACTTCAAGCATGCCTCAAATATTTTCATTAGCAATCATTAAAAACAGCATATTGTAGCACAACACACATGCACACATCTGCATACCTACACCTCTAGAATGATATTTCAACCAGAAAAATTCAAGAAACAGAGAAGATGCTGGCATATTATTTTGTGTCTCCTTGCATTGTCTCCATCATTGTTTACAACCATCCTCCTCACCTGTTCACAATTGATTTTGGTCAAGATAAAGTGAAAGATTGCTGTTCTGTTTCCCATTAATAACCACAGTTCTTGTAGGTTTAAGAGGTAAGAAAGCCTTGGCATGTAATATTTCAAAAGAACACTTGAACGGTGGACACAGCTTTCTAAACAAGACTTCTTGCAGAGTCCCAAAGGGAAAACTATGCTCCAGATACAGGTCACACATGGCTGGCTCTCATAACCTGTGTTTTGGTCTTTTGTTTGTTTTTGTTGGTCCATGGCGCTTGAACTCAGAGACTGGTTACTCAAGGCTAGAGCTCTACCACTTTGAGCCCAAAGTCTACTTCCAGTGTTCTGGTGGTTAATTGTACCTAAGAGTCTCATAGCCTTTCCTTCCCAGCTTGGCTTCAAACCATGATCTAAAGATCTCAGTCTCTTGAGTAGCGAGGATGACAGGCTTGAGCTACCAGTGCCTGGCCTTGCTTGTTTTCTTTTTAATAGAAATTTTATTGGAACACAATCACAATCATTAATTTATCTATTTTCTATAGCCGTTCTGAATCATTCTAAAGAGATTGTATGGACTATAAAGCTTAGGATATTTGTAATCACACAAAAAGTTTTTGTTCTAGGCTAAAACTATTAACATTCTGGAATGACCCTCAAAATTGCTGCACTAAATTTTTAAGCACAGCCACCTCCACTCCAAATTCTACAGATACTTTCTCCTGTCTAAAAGGTAAAACCCAGATTGGAAAGACTCATAACTATACAAAAAAAACTTAAAATATTGGACCATTTTTCCATTGTGATATATTTCTCACATGTCTGTCACAATATGGGCACAAAAAAGTGTAATTTTAATGTAACTCCTGGCTGTTAATGGCATTTCTACTTTACATTCAGCTCCAAAGTCTTTTTTGCAATACTGATACCTTAGGAATTGGATATCATCAGAATACAAATTGTGTTTATGTAATTGAAACAAATTATTTATGGTTATGAGTATCCAGGTTTGGAGTTTCAGAGTCCAGTTCAGTAATACACCAGAATCTTGCCTGGACCATCATATTTATGCCTCTTAATAGTTAGTCAACTGGAAGAACCCAGAGAAGAATAAGAGGTTGGAATCTTCACTGGGCTTAAGGAATACCCCAACAACCCAAGGAAGCAGGCCTAGAACATCAGTCCCTTACCTTCTCCAGTACTGATAAAGAGGAGGAAGACAGTTAAGACTTAACTTCCTCCATCAGTTACAGAAGGGTTCTTTTGTTTACTCAAGGCTCACACCAGGCCATTTCCAAAAGCACTCTGGAATTCTGGAGTTACTCACCCAAGTGAGAGGGTTGGCCTCAGGTCGTAGGGCAGGGTATATTTCTCTGTTTATCAGGCCCAACTTTATGAATCCATTCAAAGCTTTGGAATACCCCTACAAGAAAAATCAATAAGCACTACATGAAAGTTTTCTCACAAAAACAAATGTTAAGCTTGTCCTTGAAAAGATAGATCTAGCTCATGCCTGTAATCCTAGCTACTCAGGAGGCTGAGATCTGAGGATCATGGTTAAAAGCCAGCCTGGGCAGGAAACTCCTTGAGACTCTTATCTCCAATAAACCACTAGAAAATGGGAAGTGGTGCTGTGGGTCAAGTGGTAGAGCACAAAGCACCCAGGCCCAGAGTTCAAGCCCCATGACCAACAAAAAGGAAGGAAGGAAGGAAGGAAGGAAGAAAAGGAAGGAAGGAAGGAAGGAAGGAAGGAAGGGAGGAAGGGAGGAGGGAGGGAAGGGAGGAGGGAGGGAGGGAGGGGAAAGAAAGAAAGAAAAGAGAAAGAAAGACAGAGAGATAAAGAAAAGATAGATCTATTTTTTTATCACTAGCTTAGAAAACAATACTTCGCATTTTTGGTAAGGGTACAACTAACTCTACCCTCAGATGAAGATCCACGGTTGGATATTTCTACTGCCTTGCATAAGAGACCTGGAAAAATCTGGGTGATGCATGGTATTTTCAGGCAGAATAAAGACCAGTCTCTTCAAGTGTTACATGCTATCAGCTCAAAGGAGTGGTGTTTAATAAGAGTCAGTTTTGCTCTTTAATCATTTTACTTTTTGTGGTACTGGGGATCCAGCCCAGAGCCTCAAGTATGATTTTAAAAAAACATGTTCTACAAACATTTTATATGTAATAAGAGGAATTTATAAGAATAATATCCCCCTCAAAGCAAATAATACATTCTACTAATTAACAGTTACTACCATAAAACACATGGAAAAGGGAAAAAATAATTGTTATGCTAAGAAATTATGACATTGCTCATCTTAATTTGATCACATGTATAGCTAGTCTTTTATGTTGAGTAAATGTATAGTGAACATTAGTTTTATGTTCCTAGAATGGAATCCCCTATTTTGTAGTTGCGATTTGCTTTGGAGAAGCCTATGTCACCCCATTACTCTTCCAAGTCAATTTTGGCCAAGATAAGCAGAAGGGGTAAGCCCATCTTGAGTCCCAGTTCATGTGTTTCCCATCATGCTGACTCTATCTGTAGCTCTAGGGACAGACAACATAGGCCAAAGCTGACTAACAAATTTGTTCGACTAAACTCAGGATGAATCTCAGCTAATGAGACAAAAAGTTATAATTTTAGCTATTGAAGAAAGCCAGAGTCTGTTCTTCCAAATGGAGTTGGACTTGATAGGCCATAAGAAGCCCAAATATCACTAATATCACTCCAAAACTGATGACAACCTCCCGTCTGCCCCAATCTCAAATGAGTCAATAAATCCTCTTTTGCTATGTTGACTTGGCTCACCTGATCTTTTCAATCAAAAGGTTCCTGACAAAATCCATTTCCACTTGGTTTATTGTCTTAATTATTTTTATTACTGCAGAAAAATTAAGCATACACACTACTTGCATTCAAATTGATAATATAGTTAGTCTAAAATGTAACACTTACCTTATATCTCAGTGTACCCCTCAGTAAAGTGTGGGCAGAGGGGATCCCATAGATCTCTGAGTATCGAGTACTGTCTCTGTTAGGATAACCCTCCAAATTCAGGCCAGGAAAATAATCCATGGAAGTGACGGCATCAAGAAAGGAGACTCCCCCTGCCACGTTCACAACCTGAGATTATGGAAAAGGGAGATGTGGGGCTGTAACTAGCTGTTTCCCTGTGTTTTATCCACATTACTTACATTAAACAAAACCTCATAAAGGTTTGAAACTAGTGAAACTACCATAGGCAGTGTCCCATTGCCCAGCTGTTGCATCATTATCATAATTTACAACGCTTTCTCTCAGGCTTGCAGCATGTACACAAAGCATTTAGCTTTCCTAAAAGTAAGACTTTGTTGCAATTTTTTTCTTGGTCCTGGATAAAATGGCATTGTTTCAGTAGGAAAGAAAGAAAGAGAAAGAAAGAGAGAGAGAGAGAGAAAGAAAAAGGGAGAGAGAGAAAAGGAGAAAGGGAGGGAAGGAGGGAAGGAGGAAGGAAGGAAGGAAGGAAGGAAGGAAGGAAGAAAAGAAGGAAGGGAGGGAGGGAGGAAAGGAAGGAAGGAAGGAAGGAAGGAAGGGAGAGAGAGAAAGAAAAAGAAAGAAAGAAGAGAGGGAAAAGGAAGGAAGGGAGAGAGGGAAGGAAGAAAAGGAGGGAGGGAGAGAAGAAAGAGAGAGAGATGAAGGGAAGGAGAAGGAAAGGAAAGAAATGAGAAAGATGAAAGAAAGAGAAAAATAAAAACCTAAGCTAAGAGGGGGGGACCAAGATGGCGACGGGGCAGTAGGGAAACGCCACAGCTCTCTCCAAACAAAAAGAGAGTTCAAGTTCCAACGCTTAATCTCCCCAAGAGACCGACAACAACAAAAAGA